GTTCTTTAAAGCCATTTATATATATTCGTTAGCTTCTTTTTTGAGAAAACAACACCATAAAAGAAGACCTTGACATGTAGAAGGTTACACACGCTTAATTATAACTATCAATATGTCTATAAACTCAATCATGTAGGTGGAAATATTTTCTTCATACTAGTAACTCAGAAACATTTATGATGTGTTCATGTATTATAGATACTTATGGAAAACAAGTAATTCAGAGTCAAACACTCTTTTGACAAAGCATACATATATTCATCGCTAAGTAACAACAACAACAACGTTTGTCTATCTTTTTCTGTTTTTATTCTAATAATGATTGATATATTTCAGGTACTGTTTGATGATGAATTGGCTATTCAGTATGAACATCTTGCTAACCCAATTACTGCAAAACAACTTGTGTTCTGGTCATATGGAAATACAATCATTGACATTTATAATATAACTTACATAACCAATTAATTTTACAGCATGTATATTATACGCAAGATATTTGTATAGTATATTAAGCTATGCTTAGTGAACTTTTTGGACATTACCAAGTATTGTAAAAAGTATGTTGAAACTGTTTCGTCACAAACACTTAAAACGTTTTTTTTTCATTACATGACCTCTTCAATTTACAGATTCTCTTTTCAGTTAGTCTTTTCCTACTAAAAATTACTTTCATAACTTGCAACAAATAGATTAAAAATTCAATTTCATGTTTCTTATCTTTTATTCTTTTGTTATTGTTTTTTTCTTTGATAATTGGCTTACGCTAGAAAGTCATATAGCAGTAATACAGATCTCAGTATTTTGTTGTTGTTGTGGTTGTTGTTGGTGGTCGTTGGTGGTGGTTATAAGAACTTTTATTTTGTTGTTAATCTTAATTTAGCGGCAGTAAGATTACTTAGTTCAAACGGATACGAAAAAAGAAAATGATGTCTGATAACTTTCTAAAATTGGAACCGGAAATAAAACTTCGAGCAAATATAAATTACAATGACAATAATCTGAAGGTATGTGTCTGTATTCACTGTATTACTATTGTGGTGCGGGGTTTTAATCGGGATGGGGTAGGTAGGAGGTTGGAGGTACGTTTGGTTTCCGTATTCATAATATTTTTTAACAAATAATTGTTTGTCGTATTTTCTCCGTGGTATAATATTCCGTTAAAGTGTAATAGTTATAAATGTCCACATTTTTATTCTTTTGATGGTAATTAAGTACAAACTCAGTAAGTCCGTTTTTTTGTTTTTAATATAGTTTTCTTTTTTTTCTTCATATTTACATTAACAGTTTTGACCGGTCAAAATAACAAATATATATGTACATTAAATTGCACCGCAGAAAACTGCGGCACCAACACTTTAAACTTAAACCATTACATGTTTACTGTATAACTGTCTGAATCCCTCTATATTAAAAAGTTTTTATTTATTAATACAAAAATAATTGTAACAAAGGTTTTAATAATTAACCAATGAAAAAAATGACCCTTAAACAGGAAAATATTAACCAATGAAAATACATTTTATTAAATATGGAATTATAGATTTGACCAATAAAAATGGTTCGATTAAGACTGATTAACACGCCAGATGTCAAAAGTCAGCGGCCTGTTAATTCCTTTCTTTAAGTCAAACAGATAATCAGATAAGAAAACTTTAAATAAATGTCGTAGATAAAATTAATGATAATAATCACGTTGTCATACATGTGACGTAAATAAACATAAATGTGTCAGAAACGTAAATTGTAATAAACATGTCAGGGGTCTGGCTAATTGATAATTTACATATTTCTGAATTTCAATGATTTAAAAACTTTTTATAACATAAACAAGAAAGTATAATAATTTTACGAAAAGTATTTTGAAAGAATTAAATGAAAAAAATACAGCATAACATCACCTCCTCCTCTATTTTACTTTATTCCATAAAGTGAGACGTTCCTTATATATATTAAATTTAAACAATAAAAGTGATTGTATTATGCGCTTACGTAGATTGCTAATTTTCAACACATTGTTCCGTTTTTATTAATTAAAGTTACTTTCTAAGTGGAATACCACAAACAAGATGTTTAATATGCACAGGTTATCCTGAATTAAATTTAGTGGAAAGCCACAATGTTATCTCTTGGAAATTCAAAATCTAACTTTTAATTTAATACAGCATTTGTTAAATTTATTTTGCAATTTTCTTTTTGTGAACTTACAAAAATTTTATTTCCCTAATACATTATAGAATCAATTTAACATAGCTATACCTCAGCATGTAATAAGACATAATATATAAGCTATTTTGAAATTTTAAAATACCAGTATAAAAACCAGACATTATAGTCTATAAGTATTAATATTAAAAAGCAAATTATATTAACAAAGTACATGCTAATGTATAGAAAGTTTACAAGTTTTATCAACATCTAAAGATTAGAAATATGTGTCCCGCTTTTAAAAAAATATATATTCCATCTTTGTAGAATTATACAATAGTTCAACATCAATTTGCAAACGAATGCGTTACATAGACGATACTTTATAATACTTTTATCTTTTTTTTTTCTACTTAACAATTATAAGTAGCATTACCCATCATTAAACATAATGCAATTATTAACACGTGAAACTTTTTACCAGATACCGAAGTGGCATATAAAATTATGATGAAGAAAATTATTTCGACCAATGACACTTAAACACAAGCAAGCCACTACCTTAGACACCAACCAAACCAAATACATGTATTGTTGACACATACACCCATTCAGTAACCATAGATAAGACTTAAAAAAAGAATTCACACACACTCAATTCACTAACAGAAATTTACATACAAAATCTTATATATAGTGATGATGTCTAAAATAATCAGATGCAAAGTTAAAGTCACAAACTCAGAAATGACACTACAACCATATTTTTCATAAGAAAATAAATTATATGTCCACATGATCAATAAAATAAAGCCCAATTTTAGGTTAACATACCTTTTAGACAATACTGACATTAAGTATCTGAGAATAAAAAACATGTGAATTGATAAAACAAAATGTTTTGTAATTTATATGTTTTTCTTTCACCGCTTTATATCTCCATAAATTTCATCTGATAATATCCGGCATATTCTTTAACTTTAACGTATTTATTTCCGCGTTCGTTTATTGAATTTTTAGTTCCTATATTTTATTTTTTTTTTTTAATTATTAATTTGTTATAATTTTTTTACCAAAGTTTCGTTTACTTGTTTGCATTCATTATTCCTTAAAGTCTGGTACGTATATTAACATACGTACCTGTTAAAGTCAAATGTTCCTGGTTCCTGAATGTCCTTGAATGCCGATTATTTTGTCTATTACTTTCTTTTAATTTGTTTCGTGGGTTAACAGTTTTGACCGGTCAAAATAACAAATATATATGTACATTAAATTCCACCGCAGAAAACTGCGGCACCAACACTTTAAACTTAAACCATTACATGTTTACTGTATAACTGTCTGAATCCCTCTATATTAAAAAGTTTTTATTTATTAATACAAAAATAATTGTAACAAAGGTTTTAATAATTAACCAATGAAAAAAATGACCCTTAAACAGGAAAATATTAACCAATGAAAATACATTTTATTAAATATGGAATTATAGATTTGACCAATAAAAATGGTTCGATTAAGACTGATTAACACGCCAGATGTCAAAAGTCAGCGGCCTGTTAATTCCTTTCTTTAAGTCAAACAGATAATCAGATAAGAAAACTTTAAATAAATGTCGTAGATAAAATTAATGATAATAATCACGTTGTCATACATGTGACGTAAATAAACATAAATGTGTCAGACACGTAAATTGTAATAAACATGTCAGGGGTCTGGCTAATTGATAATTTACATATTTCTGAATTTCAATAATTTAAAAACTTTTTATAACATAAACAAGAAAGTATAATAATTTTACGAAAAGTATTTTGAAAGAATTAAATAAAAAAAATACAGCATAACATCATTATTCATCTTATTTTATTTATTTCTAAATCTATATTTTTCGGTGAACATTCAATTTATTTTTCTTATGAAACGCTTACTTTTCTGACAGTAAAATCGTCTTTTGATTTGAATAAAGCAATTATTTTGGTGTTGTTGTTTATTTTTCAGTTTGAATTTGTTATTTTTTTAGGTCATACACTGATATCTAAATGTGCATGCTTTTATAAAACCATCAATATACCGGTCTGGTCCCCATGATAAATAAACTATCTATATGTATTTCTATCTTTCCTTTTTATTTCATTTGTTTGAAATTATTTTACTCTGCATGTAACATGAAAAAAGAAAAGTAAACTTGATAAGACTGAAAAAGGAAAGAATATGCAAAATAATTTAAATAACAATCAGAATGAATTTAAGGATGATCTGGACTGTAAACCACATCATTTAGACAAAATGTCAGAGAAATTATTCAAACTTCGTATAAATTATTACTTTCGTGAAATGATCAATGACTAAATAGTCTATGATCTTTTATTTGTCGTTGTGGACATAAACCAACTGAACTTCACTTTATGAAGTTTCCTTTGTCTATTATTTGCTAAAATTGCTATACAGACATTTCCTGTTGTAATTAATGTACCAGCATGGCAAAGTATTTACCAATAACCATTGTAATTTAGATGATTTAAAAGTGTGTAAGTCATAAGGTAAGTAGGTGATGTATCTGCAATTATCAGTATTTAATGTTCACAATGAAAGCGGATGTCAGTGACTTAAAACTGTTTCATGTCAAATATGTACAAAAATGAGATCGACTGCGTACTGAACCCGAACAATAAAACAAACAAAAAAGCAATTAAGCATTATGCATTAATGTACAATATACATGCTCATCCATTTATCCATTTCAAAATGCGCTACCGTAATATCTTGTCAGTGTATATTATATTTTACTTTTGTTTGGTTTTGTCGGATAGAAGGTTTGTCAACTACACGATAGTTACAACAGGCACCTCCGCCCATTCGGGAAGACGGGCGTGTGCAGAAAAGTATGCCGACAATAAACAATTTGCCGCCAAAATCAATGATGTAACTGGCGTTTGTACTGGTTTATCATGGATCTGGGGGAGTAACCAACAATATGACCCTGGATTTTCCTATCTCATGAAGTGAAAAACAATAGAAATTTACCAACCGGCGGTAAGTTTATATCTCATTTGAATTGTTTACTAGTACTAAAGCATCATCATCGTTATGCTTGCTGGGGCCATTTTACCTCGTGTCATTTTAATAGCTACCCTACAGAAATCGCAAAACGTTATGAAAATTTGTTTCAGTTTACAGTCGGAATATAATTCATCGAATGAACAGCAAGATTACATAATAGTTTTATCAGTGGCGTTAATTCAAGCGAAATTGATTCACGGGGGATTTTTTACCTTACATTATAAGAGAGGGAGAATATTGATAATTTTCAGTAAATGTATTAGTTCTGATAAACCAGATGCATTAGCCTAGGACAATCAGATCTCATTCGAATATATACTACAATACCATATATACCGCCGGCAACATTATCAAGTAAATTAATAATGCATTGAATACTATTACAGATTCGCAGTTTTGAACGAATATTATAAATAAGTAATAATACGAATTCATCTTAGAAAGATAATATACACATGTCTATTTTTAGTTACAATAACACTGATATAAAATGTTCGTATTTTGTAGAAAGATCTTTCAGATGACTTTGATTGGCTGATTCCTGGAATATTTGGTGTTGGTGGAGGTTTAGAATTTTACATCACGACACCAGAAGGTGGCGCTTGGGTTGGGTAATATTGAATTTTCTTTTACAATATGCACGTGCTGTACACGTAACGGTGCTAAACGGTATTAAAACATCCGTTTCTATGCTGTAAATAATCGTCCTCTCCAACATATAGTTTTGATATACCATTATCACGTTTCTAGCAAACACGTTGATGGATCATGATATTGGGTTTACCCGGATTGGATCTCGCGGGATTTTGGGTATTAAAATATTTAATTGGTTTGGGAAAGCCGTAATCGCATTTATAATAACCAAATCACTCATTTTGTATTTATTTATACAGGTTCGCTATCAACTTATTGGATACTACAGATGTTAATTTCAACGTGTATGGGGGAGCCTCTGAGACCGTTATGTTACATATGATGGTTGTGAGACAGCATAACGAGCTCGTTTTCAAAACATGGGTAGGTGGCTGGACCAACATATTAATCATGGCAATTCCATTTTCTGAAGGAAGTGTTACTAAGTTTACTTTAGTACCAGATGCAGACGTCTTGCAAGTAAGATATGTTTTTAATGGTTTTTCTGTCAATTTCCTTTCTTTATCCATGTATTATTTAAGTTTTAAGCCATGATATGCTAACTGAGCACATCAGGTTTATACAATCTTAAAATATGTAAAAGCCGGATATCCCAGAGCGTAAATGGTAAAATTCGTGGCTTTTTATTAACTATTACATGTATAAATGAATTACAGTCACTGGAGCTACATGTATTAGATATTTTACATAACTACTGAACTTATGTACCAAAATTGGAATCAAGAAAATTTTAAACTGCTCTTCTACGCTATTGCTATATTATAGCCTGTTTTTTTTTCACTTGAGTCAAGGAATTCAAGGATGATACTACCTGCAACCTTTCCCGTTAGCTCTATCAAAGGCATATGCAATGTCAAGAAATGTATTGTGCCGACTTAGATATCTGCACAAAAAGATTCTGTACATATTAAAAAAAAACGACCTGAATACCCAAATGAACAATCAGGAAGATTTTTGTACTAGTTTTAATTAGACTGACGTCAAAACGTGTCTCTATTCTTAATTCATAAGTAATTTCCGATTACTTATAAATAATTACAGAAGGAAAACTTAAGTGATATAAAGTATGATATAAATTGCGCTTATTGGCGTCGTCTCTTATGGAATGCTTTTTATTTTGGGG